TCTTGTTAGATTATGCATATATATATATATACATACATACATACAGACAGAAATTTGTTTTTTGTTACTTTTTACATGTGCCTATTTGTGTATGTACATATGTCTATTTAGGGGGGCCGGGGAGGCGGGGGGGGGGGGGACTGCGGGGGTTTTCAGGGTTTGGGGCCACTAGGGGTCTGAGTTGTTCTTCGAGGAGAGGCTGACTTTCCCTTGAACCCCTTGAGGTGTACTGGGGACCCTTTGTTCGTCCTCTAAGGGAATATAAGGGTCCTAAACCCTAAAACCCCAAACACCAAGCCCTAAACCCTAAACCCTAAACCCTACTAGGAACATGCTATGGGAACTACTTAGGGCTGCGTCCTTGGGGGCCCAAGCTCGACTCACTTGTTGTTAGGGGTAAGGGGTTGCGAGGGGGAGCTGAGGGTTGTTAGGTGTTTAGGAGTGGTTGGGGTTGTCAGTCCTAGGGGGTTTAGGGGCTCAGGGGCCAAGCATGGTTCGGCTTGTTTTTAAGCTAGGGTCCTCCCCTGACAGTAATTAGAAGAAGGATCCCCACAAGGGGCCCTACGAATAGCCCCTTGCTTCAGATTCAGTGAAGTCCAAGGTCCCGGGATTGATTGCATGTTGTTTGCATGTTGTTGGCATATTGTTTGCATGTTGTTTGCATGACTTGGATCTCTGGCTACAAACCGGGGCGGGGGGGCTTGCTGGAGACCACGGGGAACTCGTGACTGCAACTGCAACCGCAACCCACTGCACGCCAGGAGCGGAGAGGTGATCCGCGAGTACGTGGCTTGGTATACATAGGCAGTTCTAAATTAGGGTCTCTTTTTGGGATCCATTTTTAAAGGGTGCCGTATTGTAATGGGTACCCAAAAAGGAACCCTAATGTAGAAAAAAACACCCACGGAGAGGATCTGTCGCACAGGCCGACCTCGCCGAATCTGGAGCACACATGTTGCACCCAGAATCGCCCTATACCCTAAACCCCAAACCCCCAACCCTAAACTAACCCTAAACCCTAAACCCTAAACCCCAGCAGGCCCCTGGCTCCCAGACATCAACACACAAACCTGTGGCTTGCCCGTACAAAACATGGCTCCACCCACGACACTTACCTTTCATCCAAGTCATTGAGTATATGCGCCCATCAGACAAGCTTTGCTTGGTAAGGACCTGCCTGGCCATTGCCCCAACACGATCAGCGTGGACTGGTGTACCATGATGGCGTGCACTGGTGCTGACGACGGCAAGGTGCCGCCACGATGGGCTTGCCTAGTTCGGTCCAGTGTTTGGAAGGAGTTGCTTCCGACGCTGCATTGCTTCACAGCAGCTATGGCATATGACATGGTCCCACCCGCCCTCCGACCACTCAAGAATCTTCCTGCTAAAGCAAATGCTGCTTGTAATAAGACGTCTTTTCTCCAAGGCCTTCTTTCCGAGGGCCTCATAAGTTCGTCCCGTTGCCCCTCCCAATGAACTGGAGCGCAGGCAACGAATGCAAAGCCACGAGACTGCTGTCATGCGAATGCGCGCAGGTGAAGATTTGGGAGTTGGAAACCGGGGAGGTGTCACAGACCATCGACTGCGACCCGGTGGTGCAATCGATAAAAACCCTAAACCCTAAACCCTAAACCCTAAACCGCAAACCCTAAACCCTAAACCCTAAACCCTACACCCTAAACCCTAAACCCTAAACCCTAAACCCTAAACCCTAAACCCTAAACCCTAAACCTAAGTATAGGAGTGGAGTCTGCATGGCCTTCGGGTCTTACCCCCTACACCCTAAACCAAACACGCTGCATGCCCGGCAGAATAGTAGAGAGTTACAGACAAGGAGCTGTTCCGAACTAGTCCCAGCTAGGCCTCCTTTCAAAAGAGGATCCCTGTTGATCCTAAGTAAACCGACCGGAGTTCAAAAGACACAAATTCCTGATCCTTCTTCTTCTTGTCATTATTATTATCATTACTATTAATATCGTTGTTATTACTACTATTAATATTTTAGCTGTTGCGGTGCCTCTCTTTCACGCTGAATCCCTCAAGGCGAGCACTTCCTGACGCAGAGCCTGGACATTTGCTGGTCAAGGGGACTGCTCCTGACGGGGTCCTTCGTGGCCCGACTAAACAAGGTCAAACCTTAAACCCCAAGCCCCCCCCCCCCCCCCAAAAGGTCCTAAACCCTAAGCCCTCAACCCTAAACCCCAAAGGTCCTAAACCCTAATAACTATTTTGGGCCCAAAGCGGGTCGGGGCTTCGAATTCGGGAGACCATAGCGACTTGAAACTGCTGTTCCTTGGATGGTTGCTTTGGCCTTGTCACTCTCCTAACTCCGTGTTTGCGGTCTTTCTAGAATCCGGACTGCTGAAACCTCTAAGCCGCAAGGTGCAAATGCCATGAACTGGCGGCCATGGCTCCTTGTAAACCCGGAACATCCATGCATTTCTTCTAAACCATGCTCAGCCCCGAAATGCTGGGGTTTAGGGCATAAAGGAAATTGGTCCCCAGCACTGAATCAGCCTGAGCAATGACCAAAGATTGGGCTCCCGGCTCCCTTTCTTTCGGATCCTACACGCTGAGAGTTTCAGAGCCATCGCAGCTTTAGGCGCTAGTGGGGTTGGAGCTAGGGTTTAGGGTTTAGGGTTTTTTAGGCTTGCTGGGACATCCACCCTCCCCTGAAAGCGCCTCTCGACAAAGATCAAAAGGCTTTCGCGTCTTCTGGTCGAGAATTCTGACCTAAACCTGTGTAAGCCCGAAACTCCTAAGCCCCCAGGAAATGCTTCAAAACCCTAAGCCCTAAACCCTAGACCCCTAAACCCCTAAACCCTAAACTCTAAACCCTAAACCCTAGGACCACCAGTTCAAGCTCTGGGACGTGACTTCGGGGACCTTGCTGAAGCAGTTCGTCGAGCCCAAGCGCTGCCTGACACGAGTGCTTCTGCAGTGAAAGGACCCCTCAGGAGACTGGGAGGATGCCTCTCAGAGGGCTGTTGTTACGACTCGAATACGATTCTTAGCTTCAGGCTTAGTATTATAGATGCCGTGCAATATATATATATATATATATATATATATATATATATTCATATTATTATATATATATATATACTGCTCCAGAAGACTTGTTTGCGGTGCGTGCAGTCGTGGTGCACTTTCCTTCCTAGACTCCCCTGCATGCCCTGCGCTATCACAGCCGATGCAGGAGCAGACGGCCACGGAGACCCAGAGTGGACTTTTTGGAGCCCATGCACCCAATTCAACTCGGCTCATCAGAGCTTCAGAATTTGTTCAGCAGGCGAGGGTATCACAGATGCAGGCCAAGGAAGAGTTCCCGGCTGGCCCCCAGAGTTTATAGCCCTTGCTACTGAAACTAGGGCTCAGCAAGAGACTGGGCAGTCCGGGGAGTTTGCTACCCTGCTACCATATCCCAATCCTAACCTTCCCCATCACTAGATCATCATATCACTATCAAGGCTGTTATACGGGCACGGCTACTAGCGGAGAACGTGTCCCCTCGCCTGCACGGCAAGTGATTTTTTGTGGTCAATGAATATCGAATCGATGAACGAACCGCAGGACAATCGAGGCCACGAGCCTCAACACCATCTCTCCCTTAAGAGTACTTGGAGGTGTCATGGGTACTTATAGCACTTCTAACTGGTTATAAGTACCCTGAACCTCCAAGTAGGGCTTGCTCCTGTTCCTTGCAGATTTCAGGATGCTGCAGCCCACCTTCCTTGCTGGGCGGGCCGGATGGGTCTATTTGCAGGTTTTGTGCAAAGGCCTAGTAGAGGGGCCTCAAGAAAGAGAGTCGGGTTTTGGGGGGTTATGAAAGTGTAATATTAGAGGATAATATTGTAGTATAATATTACAATATAATATTAGAGTATAATATTCGGGCGTAATATTAGGATATAATAGTAAAGTATAATATTATAGTATGATATTAAAGGATAATTGTAGTGGGACCATAGTAACCATAGGGGAACAATGTTCGTAAGTATTCCGACCCCTATGTTGTGGAGGCCCAGGATCGGTGGGGTATACTTGTTCCATGGGCTAAAGGTTGGACAGAAGCTGTGTGACAACATGAACCATCAGGGTTTAGGGTTTAGGGTTTAGGGTTTAAGGGCACCCATCCAATGCGCGCACGGCAGTGGTCCAGAATCGCAAGCTGCCGCTGCTTCGGCAAGCTTGTCTGCCCACACCTGGGGGTTTCCGATATTAGGGGTACCTTAGTGGTGTCCGTCTTATACAGGAATCCTACTATTTGGGGGTCCCATATTTTCGTAAACCCCCACCTCTCTCTCAGTGTTTGTTGAATTCGAGAACGCATGCCGCGGTCGCTGCGTACATGATACGCAGCATGTGGCAACATGCTGCGATCGGCAGTCAGGACTCCCATAACCAAAAAAACCTGTGGGCAATGCGCGAAGCGCAGTGCCTTGCAGTGGTCGTGTGGGAGTTCGGAAGTAGATGCACGCCACCCGCCACGGGTCAGTGATGTACACTCCGAGTAATAGAAGAATCCGTGCAGGCCACCCCGCAGGAACTGTGCGCGTTCCGTTTAACCGGAGCCCCGGCACAGCAGGTGCTGTGGAGGCACCGGGGGCCCGCGCCTGCATTGCGACCGAGCCTCCATCTTTGGCAGCCTGAAGCTACTGTGCTTGGATGTTCATGGGCAGTTATAAGCTAGGGTTCGAAGTAAGGTACCTACATTTTAACCAGAATGAGGGTACCCTGCTTGTAACTTTCCATGAACCCTCAAGTAGTGCCTACAACTTGCAACCACGGACTCTGCACAGTTTGGTTGTGAGATCTGCTGAATGATCATGCTGCCCAGTGCTTCACTGTCAGCTCGGTCGCGTCACAGAACGTCGAGAAATGAGTCCCGTATCCAGCAGAGAAAGAACCTCCGCACACCCAAGAAAAATGACCCTTCGAGCCTCGAGCCTCAACTCCGCTTCCCAAGCAACGGATGCCCGCATTCCAGCAACTGTGAGGCCATGCTGTCTCTTTGACGTCGACCCCCGAGCCTGCACCTAAGCTTCTGCTCCACCCTAAACCCTAAACCCTAAACCCTAAACCCTAAACCCTAAACCCTAAACCCTAAACCCTAAACCCTAAACCCTAAACCGTGCGCACGCAGCTTCCGGGTGCAGGGCTGGGCCTCCTAGTGGGGAGATCCGTCTGCATCTACAAGAAGGTACACGTGCGTTGCGTACAGGGTTTCTCGTTTGCTTTGAGCCCATGTGAAACAGGGTTTATATTACTGTTGTTGGTGAGTGTATATATAGGGTTCCTTTTTAATGTTGGTGAGTGTATATGCCTGGTGTCCTTTTGGGGGTACAAAAAACATATACCCTTACTTCATGCGGACCATTCTGACCTGTGCTGCTGACCTTCTGCCCTGCGAAAGGGCACAAGCATGAAACAAGTTGATGAGTATCAACAAGACATGCCATGTTTCATAGACAGATATCTTCAGATCAAATGCTTGACTTCGTCAGATAAAGCCTTGTAAACCCCCAGCTGACCAAACCGTACATTCCAGCCCCTCTTTCCCCACGATCCCTGACTCCCCACCTTCCCGGACTCTATAAGCTTCTTCAATCTTAAGTCCTCATCCCCCAGCTTGCTGATGCTTAACAAGCTCGTTTTGTTTGCTGCCGGAACTCCGATTGCGCGCCAGCGAGGCTCTCGAGGTTCAGGCTTCAGGTTCCCAAAAGCGAAGCCAGACATCAGGCTTTTCGGCGAAGCGCCATGCTCGCGAGCTTATAGTGTTTCAGGCGCGAAGCTCACAAGCTGCAGGCTTCAAACTTCAACAGTCAAGAACACGAGCTTCAGACGTCAGGCTTCAAAAGTGGAGCTTCAGGCTTCAGGCTTGAAGCTTGAAACTTGTGAGCTTCAGAAGCTTCACCGGTTTGCGGGCATACCCTCGGAACTCCATTTTCGAACTCCATCTGCGATTTCATGCATCATTATTCTCAATATCCTCTCAGTCTCAAACCCGGCTGACTTCGTGATCCTAAGCCCTCGACCCCATGATGACTGCCCCCCCGCTTTTAGACCTGAAATGGCGCAGGTCTGGGGCGTTCAGGTCTGGACAAAAGGGCCCCAGAGTACGAGAACATCTAGGGGTTGCCGAAAATGAGGGGTACTCGTCGTGCCCATTTTGGGGGTTACTATAGTAGTAGGACTCTACTATTTTGGGGGTATGTCTGTAAGGATTATTACTTATGCCATTTTGGGGTATGTCTAGGGGTCCCTATTTGGGGAAATACCCATCTCACAGCCAGCGAGGTTGAACCTTTGGCTTTGACATGGAGATGTGTAGGAGCCGGACAGTTCTCAGACCCCCATCATCCCTAAACCAACACCCCATCAGCTACTAAACCCTAAACCCGAAACCCTAAGCCCTAAGCCCTAAACCCTAAACCCTAAACCCTAAACCCCTAAACCCCTAAACCCCTAAACCCCTGAACCCCTGAACCCCTAAACCCAAGCCCTTTCCAACAGCTCAGGCCACAGCTCTCACTCTCCGCCCGCTCTCTGAGCGTCTGCGCTTGGGCAGGGGCCCAAGATTTTCTTCTGGCTGGTTCTTAGTAGGGAAAGAGGGAATGAGGGACCTACATAAGCCCTTAAAGGGTATACATACAGCCCTTATTCCCTCGTTCCCTACTAAGATCCTGCGGGGTTGTGTTTGCTTTTGCTGTTCGCTTTTTGCGGGGCATTCAAAGACCAGGTTGTGTTTCGGGTTTCGGCGATCCCGGTAGAGTCCCATAGTCCTGTTCATAAAGTTTCTCTGTACGCCAAATGGATCCGGAACGCGCATGTGTCTCTGTGGACCATCCGTACTTTGCATACTTGTCGCTGTGTTTTGCTTTGCGTTCCAAAGTTGTCAACCTTCTCCCAACCGCCGAACATGCTGCTTTTTACAGTGTTCCAGCATGTGCATTGACATGCTGTGCTTCAGAGGGCCTCTTCGAAAAAGTGCCTGTTGACCTTTCCTCTGCGTATGCCAAGTGTGCAAAACCCCATATTTACAGTGTTTTGTGCACATGTATTTTGCGCTCGCTGATGTCAAATGTGTTTGACACCTCTCGTTTCGGATGTTTTTTCGCATAGATCTGCATGTGCATAGAGCTCTCGACATCACTCGATTTTCATCGACCTCTTGACATGCCCCTTGCACATCCTATGAGGGCCTTGCTACAGTATTTTTTACTTTTGGATCGGCTCTGGCTTGTCTTGGCTTGGGGCGGGGCTGGGGGCGAGGGGTGACGCCGATTGTACCCATTGTAACACGCCGTTTGCACTAGCCACTAGTCGCCTTTTGGTGCTTTTTCCAGGGTTTTAGGGTGTGGGTTTGGGCCTCCTCATGCCGCTTCCTGTCCTCGCAGCCTCAGACTTGCTTCTCTTGCGTGAGCTGTCCTTTCAAAAATGGCTCAACAAGAACGGGCCTCACCTCAAGCCGCTTCTCATAGGACTGCATGAGAACTGCTTGGACTATCTTGAGCACTCGTCACTACAGCACACTGTTCTGAAGTTCATTCTGAACCCCAAATCAGCAGAGCCATCCTAAACCAATCCTAAACCCTAAACCCTAAACCCTCCCAGGATTGGAAGATCTTTGTCGGTGCCCTGAGGGGCACCTGTATCGCAAGCTGCTGCGGGGTGAAGGCCGATCACCAGTTCGCCATGTCCACCTGAAGCCTAGAGCTGAAATGGGGGTTTCCGAAATTCGGGGATATGTTATTTGGGCTTAGAGTTTCGGGTTTAGGGTTTAGGATTTAGGGTTTAGGGGTACTTTATTGGGGCCCTTATTAGAAGGGAATCCTACGATATTCGGGGTCCCGTGTTTTCGTAACCCCCCCCAAAAAAAAAAATTGCCCACAAGCATGTCTTGGTCCCATGCATGCCAGCCACAAGTGGCACGGATCGCTCGCTGCAATACTCGTCCACACCTTAGGGTTTAGGGTTCAGGGTTTAGGGTTTAGGGTTTCGGGTTTGGGGTTTAGGGTTTGGGGTTTAGGGTTTAGGGTTTAGGGCACCCAAACGGCAGAGTTGGCCGGACTTTCAAGAAAGCATGTCTTTTTTGGCGGGCGGTGGGGCTTTTATTAGATCTACGTTTGATGCTTTGAAAAGCCGTGAGTTAGAGCGGGAAAATTGAACTTTCTCGCGAGAGAACCAGGAGCCAGGCGCCTGAAGGGACAGAGTGATGATTGTGTAAATCTGAGGCCGATAGGACAAGTCGTGTCGGATTTTTAGGAAGCTCACCCTCAAGCCCCTAAACCCTAAACCCTAAAGTAAGCCCTGGTGTGCTGAAGGTCTGCTGCAAGCAGCAAGCAAGGTAAAGCTGAGGGCAGTCCAGGGTGCCCTAAGCTACCCCAAGACGTCTTCGCTTGCAAGCTCCAATGTCCCATTTTGGGCCTTGCGTAGGACCAGTTGAAATCCATTGACAGCAGTGAACACAACAGACATATGCTCTCAGCGCGAGGAGTTTTTAAACCGCCCCTTCGTTAAAATGATGTTGACATTGCTGCATGGTACCCGTATACCCTAAACCCTATAAATAAAGCTTTCAGGAGATACGGCTGGCACGGGAGGCCCCAAAACCCCACTTGAAAGCGTCATGGGTAGTTCGAAAAAGGGATATAAGTATTAGTTCAGGTTATGAAATAAGTTACCTCAGTTACCACCCTACTTAGAAGAATTGTGCAGGAACCGTCGCGTTGTCATATATGCTGCGTAGATTCGCAGCGCGCCCAGCGATGAATGCTCTGGGGTTTAGGTGGTTTGGGGGGTCGAGGGGTTTGGAACACGGGAGTTTGTGCATCTTGCTTGAGACAGTCAGAATTCAAACACATGGTCGGTCACACTGTGCAGTATCGTAAACTACGGAAACACAATGTGGGGGTTTCCGAAAATAGGCATACCCTTTTTGGGAGCCCCTTTAAGGGGATTCTATTCTATTTGGAGGTATAAAAGGGATACCCCTATCTTGGGAAATGCTGATGTGATGTAGTTTTGCCTTGAGACTTGTCGGCTCAGTCCAGGGGCTGCGGCTGCTGGGGGATGGCAATTTGCGCCTGTCACCGCAGCAAGCGTATGGATCTCAGCCAGGGCCTACCAGAAACCTGCAAGGAGTTTGGGAATCAGGTAGCTGAGATAACCCCCTTAAGGGGTAGAAAGGGGGACAGACGGTACCGAATTCCAAACTTCCCAACTACGAAAAGAAAGGTCTGCGAAATGTTACCTGAAGATGTCGAGCCATGCGTCTTGCGGAATGTGATCAGGCAAGCTCCTGTTGAGAGACGCTGCGTTTGTAAAGCATCTACCTCATCATATGGTTGAAGTTGTAGGCGGGAGTTGTGCTGTTGCAACGACTAAGGTGGGAAGCCCTTGGTCCATCCACGGAGACCCTGGGATGTGTGCCGTGCTGAAACCTTGAACCCCCATTCCGGGCTTCTTGAACCCAAACCCCCCCGGGGAACCCTAACTATGACGGCCCCGAAAGCCCTCTTAAAAAAAATCCGAAGTATGGTCCTCTTAAACCCAATATAAATATTAAATATCCCTAGGGCTTACCTAGATGATCATCTAAGTGTGTTAACCTCGTTGCCCTCTTGATTGAAATGGGATGATGAGGTCGTGTAAATATGAAAGTTTCTCTCCCAGAGGAAGGACCCGCAAGTGGCCTTAAAAGACACCCCAAGGCACGTCCACCCCAGAGCATTAACAGGGCCCGGAGAAAGTCATCTCGGAAGCCAAAGCATAGGGGTACTTAAACTCAATAAGGAATAGACATTTAATTTTTAAATACCATCCCAACCATGAACTACCTAAACCCTGAACCCTAAACCCTAAACCCTAAACCCTAAACCCTAAACCCTAAACCCTAAACCCTAAACCCTAAACCCTAAACCCTAAACCCTAAACCCTAAACCCTAAACCCTAAACCCTACCCCCTCTCATCCTGGCCGAGAGGAGCTGGATCTGGACCCGAAAGCAGTGACTCTGCCGGTTGCCGAGCTGGTTGCGCTTGTGGAGGGCATGTGATCATGTGATCCGTCTAGCCCTAAACCCTAAACCCTAAACCCTAAACCCATCTGAAGACCCAAGCTTGATTGCAGATCACAGCCTGTGACAGAGAGAGTGGTAACCCCAACCTACGAAGCCCCAAGAGCTCCAGAGACCCAAGCCCCGTTATAAGCCCTACAAAACCTGCATAATATGCGGTTTAGGGCTTAGGGTTTAGGGTTTAGGGTTTAGGGCTTAGGGTTTAGGGTTTAGGGCTTAGGGTTTAGGGTTGAGGAACCGTACTAGCCCTAACCCCTGAAACCACCCGCAGTGCAGTGCCCATAGCCCCCCTCTCCCGTAGTAGTCTTCGTAGCCCTTTGTTTGGCCGGTGAACCAGTAGTGCTGGCATGGCAGCGTGTAAGACATAAGACCTTGTGGAGCTCGACTAGACATTCTTAACCCTTTTAACTCTGTCAACCCTATTAACCCTGTTAACACCTGCTACCCCAATTAACCCGATGTTACCCCGGTTAAGCCCAGTGACCTGTTCCAATCCCAAGGACTCTACGGGACTGGCAGAGCAAGTCGGCCCAGCACGGATCCGAGGGGGGGGGGGGGGGGGGGGGGTTTTAATTACAGGGTTTAGGGTTTAGTGGGGGGGGGGGGGTTGATTACAGGGGTTTCGCTGGGCTTCTCTGAGATTTTTGAGGGGGGGGAGGGGCAGGGTTAGGACGGAAGGGCTTCGAGGATTCTGAGGGTCTCAGGTGTTTGGAGGTATTTGGGTTCCGACTGCAATGTTCGGATGCGCTGATGGTTTTGGAGGTGTTTCGTTGCGGGTCACCCGAAGCCCGTTAAAGGCTGCAGGGTTTCTTGGCTTGCACTTGGGTCGAGGTTGTCAGGCTGCTCTGACAGGCGCCCGTATCGAGGGCTTTGGCTTGCCAATTGGGTTTCGGGGTGCCTTCGGGACTTGAACTTAAAAGCCCCCTAAACCCTACACCCTAAACCCCTAAACCCTAAACCTCAAACCCAAACCCATAAAATCTACACCCTTACCCCTCGAATCTTCGCAGCATTCTCTAAAGCTTGCTGTTGCCTAAGGCCGGCTCTGATGCCGATTCCCTCCTCTCGCGCCAAGTCCCGAACCGAGCTCAAGCATAAGACTTTCCGACTCCAAGAGTGTTTTGGGGTATCTAGGGTTTGGGGTTGAAGCTTTAGGGTATAGGGTTTATTTAGGGTTTAGGGTTTAGGGTTTAGGGTTTAGGGTTTAGGGTTAGGGGGTTAAGGTTTCGGGTAGCTGGGTGTTTAGGGTTTAGGGTCTCTTGGAACTCGCGGGCCGGAAGGCTGAACTACCTGACCCACACGAAGCCCGGCAAAGGCCGCCACACATGTTGCGCGTTGGGTGGGGGGGGGGGGGGGGGGGCAAGAGGAGTAAGCTTGACACCAGGGTTTAGGGTTTAAAGTTTAGGGTTTGGGGTTCGGGGCCAGCCATAGACTGCAGCCACTTTGCCTTTCTCCTACCATGCCTGCACCCACTGGGCGGCACCGTCTTAATTTGCGAGGCCTGTATGAGGCTGGCCGGCATGCATTGCATAGCTTTGGTTGAAAAACCCTAAACCCAAAACCCTAAACCCTGGTTGCACATTGGAACCTTTTCCGTTGTTGAGGGAGGGCTTATGGCCCGCAGGCTATCGCAGAACCTACCAGTGGCAGCCTTGGCCGGGGGCTCACATTTCGCCTGAGGCAGGATGTGCACAGGCAAATGCACGAACACATCGCGTATGCAATATATCTGTGTGTATAGTTCATATACAAAATTAATACTTGTATATATATATATACATATAATCTAGAGAATATTTTTTTACATACACACCATCTTTAGGTGTGTACGAATATCAGACGAAGCTAGCCTCTTAGAGGGCTATCTACCTAAAGTGGTAGCTTCCCAGACGTGTGGGTGCGCAAATGCATGCCCCCTTTTTCGTGTGCCCCCCCACCGCCCCCCCCCCCCCGCCCGTCCCCACCCCCAATACAAAGTGCTGAACTGTTGCTAGCTTGTGTTCTTGAATCTCGTGTCATACTGTGTTGTGAATTCAGATCCAACTTGCTGTTAATATTGCATCTTCCGTTGGTGTATATGTTGTACACTCTTCCGAGACGTGTTTGTGAATCCTATTTTGTTTCTTGAGATTCTGCTTTTCTTTTGGTGACGTGCCCAGCGTTCCGTGGATTCGGGCATGGGGCTCGGCGCCTTCCAGTTGCCAAGTTCCTCTTCTGGTTGCGGCGGGACATCCAGGGGCTCCTAGTAAAGTAATGTAATGCAACTGTATATGGTTGCACTTTATGTAGTGTGCTGCCACGCATTGCTCCGCGGCATCGTGTAGTGTGCAGCTTCGTACATTTTCTAGCTCTCTCGCAAGACGTCTGCAGGAGCCTGGAGCGGTGAGACGAATTCTTGATTTCTGCACGCGATCGCAAGTCATGCCAATGCCATGCGTTGCAATGCCATGCAAGCTTGATGTGCATGTTGACATGTTTGCATACTCCTGATATCCACATTAGGTAGCCCAGTAGCATGTCTTTATAGCGCTTTTAAAAAGCAAGCGATTCGAGCATCATCCTTGCGGAGCTTTGATTGAGGCTCCTCTGGCGCAACGTGAGGACACGTTCCGGAGATGTTTGGTTCGCTGTTTGATGCCGTGCGCACCCTTCTGCAGGTACAGGTTTTAGGTTTTTTTGGCGCCCATGTGCATGCTGTTAGCCCGGAGCTAAACCCTGCACCCAGTTTTTGTTTGGTCGCTTTCCTGTTCAGGAAGCTGAGAGAGGTCTTGGAGTTCTACACAGAACCCTTCAGCGCCTGACCTCAGCTTGTAGGTTTTTTTGTAGTCAAGGTGTACCAAGCTGGGACATTTCGGGATGCTTGACTTCACGATAGATGATGTTGCGACAAGTGCAACAGGATTCCTAGAATCTAGAGACACTAGTGCATGTTACCTACTTGCCTCACTGGGTTGTCCACCCACTTTGCCGGGCTGGTCGGCAAACAAATCGACGAGTTCTCTTTCCCCCACCGTTGGCTACAGTGAAGCCCTCACGTTCACAGTGCAGACAGCCAAGTACTAGATACTAGCGGGGCTTGCGGGACAGTGATTTCCCCCACCTACGTCGGTCTCTCCTCATGAGAGCCAAAGACCATCTTGTCTGGTTCCGCGCATAGAAGCCTGCGGCGTCCTCAATGCCTGCTCGTGTGTGACAATCTCTGCCACAATAGGATCTAGTTTTCACAGTGACGTGTACATCGCGAGGTGTTCAGAACAACCGGCTGTTCTTGCAGGGCGGGGAGGCCAGCGGGGCAAGAGTACGTTCTACCCAGAACCATCAACCTTGGTTGCGGCATGGCAAGACTCAGCGCACCTGTTACTGCCGGGTGCATAAAACTCCACAAACTTGGGAAGTGGCGTACGTGTCATCGCGCGTTGTTTCATATAGCTTGCGATCCCAGAGCCCTGAGTTCGCAAGACGTCAGCCGGCTGCTTGGCTCAGGGGCCTTGGGGAATTTGGAGAGGGGGGGACATATGGGGCCGTGGTGGAGGGTGCCGGGGCGACCCTCACTGCCCGCATGAGCAAGCCCCTGCAGACGGTGCGCGAGTTCAACGAGGCCATCAGCGCCTGTCGTAAAAAAGGACACTGGCAAGTGGCCCTGGCACTCCTTGAGGATGCCTGGCTCAACATGACTTTGCTTACTGGCTAGTAGGGAATGAGGCAGCCTATGTCCCCCTTTCTATACCCCATTTAAGGGATTCTATAGGGTACCTCATTCCCTCATTCCCTACTAACAAGCAGTAAGTTTGAGGACTGTTGCTGAGTGTTGCCGTATAATCCGTAATTACGTTCATGTTTTTGGTCATGTTTTGTCATGTCTTGTCACCTGTGGCGCCATAGTTAGGGCTTCTGCCCGCTCGAGCCTCCAGGACCTGGAACTGCAGGGGCTCTCTGCAGACCTTGTCTCCTACAATGCTTGCATCAGCGTGTGCTCCAGGGCCATCCAGTGGCAAAGAGGCCTGGGGCTGCTCGCCCAGGCAAGCAAACGTCTCAAGCTCAACGTCATCAGCTACAGCGCTTGCATCAGCGCCCTCGAGCGAGGAAGCCGCTGGCAACAATCGCTTCGCCTTCTCTGGGAGCTCCTGACGGGCGGCCTAGAAGCGGATGTGATCGTGGTCGGAGCTGCAATCAGCGCCTGCCAGCGTGGTCACCAGTGGCCGCAGGCACTTGAGTTGCTGTCTCTGCTCCAACGCCAGCACATCGAAAGCAACACCGTCGTCTACAACTCTGCCATCAGCGCTTGCGAGAAGGCCGGGGAATGGCAGGTGGCAGCTTGCCTTCTCGATGGCCTTTTGCAAGCCAGTCTTCAGGCGGACGTGGTCACCTATAGTGCTGCCATGACCGCTTTCAGCCAGGGTGGGCAATGGGAGCGCGCACTGCTGCTGATGCATTCAGTCCGTGACGAGGGCATGCAACCAGATCTAGCTGCTTGGCCGTGAACTGGAAGAAAGCTAGGAAGCTCATCATATCCATAACAAGAAGCCCTGCATCACCCCCAGGTCATGTACAATACCGCCATCACCGCATGTGCCAAAGGCAGCTGCTGGGAGGAAGCCATTGACCTGCTGGACCTCCTGCCTAGAGTCCATTTGCAGCCTCAGGTGGGCGGGTTGAGACTTGCCAATGTGCACCTGGTTCGATTGCCATGCGCACACTCCATGCCAGTCCCTGAAAATGATACCCTAAACCCTAAACCCTAAACCCTAAACCCTAAACCCTAAACCCTAAACCCTATAAACCCTAACCCTAAACCCTAAACCGCAGGTGATCACCTGCAACGCGGCGGCCAGCGCCTGCGCGTCTGCCGGGCAATGGGAAGCCGCTTTGGCTCTGCTCGAGGCCGCGCAATCTCAGAACCCAAAGAACCCGAACTTCCCTAAATCCTAGGTTTAGGGTTTAGGGTTTAGGGTTTAGGGTTTAGGGTTTAGGGTTTAGGGTTTAGGGTTTAGGGCTGTAACCCCAGCCACCAAGCCACATTGGCAGACTGACTGCTGCCAACGTCGCAGGCTAGGCTAGGATCCCGTGCTCGAGCTTATACCCTAGAAGCCCTAAACACTAAACGCTCCTACAACACCCGCAAGCTTGAGCTTCTTGGGTTGGGCTTGCGTTGAAGTGGGGGTTCAGGGCTTGCGGTTTAAGGCGTGAGGACCCAAACCTGGGTTTCTATGTTCGGGGTTGAGGCTCAAGGCTTAAGGACCCAAACCTGGTTCTCTTGACAGAAAGCTATCATACTGTGTGCATGAGCCCTTTTCTGAAGAAGTGGACTGCCAAAACCCTGCAACCAAAACGGCACCAGGTTCTGAGAAGAAGTGGCCGGGCCACCATCGCCTCGTACGGCGCAGCACTCAGCGCGTGCGCCGCGGAGAAGGTGGGCCTTCAAGGTTTTGGTGTTTTGGGGCATCGGAGGATGTCAGTTCCCTTACCACGAAACTGCCACAATCAGGGGGCGAACATCCTAGTTTGGCTTTTCAGGCAATTTCATACTCCCGCCAATCCACAGGATGAAGTGCAGTAGAGAAAAGGTCCCGGAAGGGAACATTTGCAGGCCTCAGGCTATTCAGGACTGAGGGTTTTCGGGGGTTGAAAGTTGAAAGCTTCAGGGTTAGAGTGAAGTTTACTTAACTTATGAAGGGTTTTTCAGGGCTTCATGGGATGTCTAAGTTTATCTAAGGGCTGTATTCTCTACGGGTAGTTTCATGGGCCCTTCATGTGGTCCCTTCCACTCTTGAAAGGATTCTGAGGTATGGGCCCTTGGGTTGTATGGGGTATATAAGGGGTGTTTCTTCAGGGCCCATACTAAGGGACCATGAAACTTCCCTTTGACATGGGGGTTTCCGAAAATAGGGGACCCCTACCGTCCACCGTCCACCTTCCTTCTCCCGTGCGAGAGGTTTAGTCCCCCAAATAAGATCTCCTTTTAATCTCGTCAGAACCCCAATAAGGTACCCCTAATAGCGTACCCTAAGCCCTAAGCCCTAAGCCCTAAACGCTAAACCCGAAACCCTAAACCCTAAACCCTAAACCCTAAACCCTAAACCCTAAACCCTAAACCCCCATATTCCTTCAGGCCAGCAGATGGCAGCAGGCACTTCTGGTTCTCGAAGCGCTCCAAGAAGACAGCCGCAGAATCCAGGCTCGAGGAACGCTTGGATTCCTAGGACCCAGAGTAGGGTTTAGGGTTTAGGGTTCAGGGTTCAGGGTTCAGGGTTTAGGGTTTAGGGTTTAGGGTTTAAGGTTTAGGGTTTAGGGTTTAAGGGTTTGGGGTTTAGGGTTTTCCCATGTTTTGGGGTTATAGGTAAGCCCCTTTAAACCAACAAGGGTACACATTTCTTTCCAAGGTTACTCCTGGGTCTAGACTCGATGCTGCTCGCAGCCCTGTCGTAAACCCCTAAACCCTTGCACCTGAGAAAGATTCAGGAGAGTTAGAGAATCCCTGCGTGCGCTCGAGGCGCTGTCGGTGGACGTGGTGGCCTTCGGGGCAGCCATCAGTGCCTGTGGGAAGTGTGGCCAGTGGGAGCATGCCATCCATCTCTTCTCTGAGATGCACAGACACGTGCACCCTGATGTAGTGGCTTCTTAGTAGCTGAATGAGTACCCTTTACACTTTTTGGGATACTCTAATCCCCTATAGAACTGAAAGTGTACACTTTTTGGGGGTCTGTGAACTCAGCAACTAAGGCTTGCAATGCCGTTATCAGTGCATGTGAGAAGTGCGAGAAGTGGCAGCATGCCTGCCTCCTGCTCTCAGAGGCTTATGGTCGCATGATCCTGCCAAATGTCGTGACCTTCAATGCTGCAATCAGTGCGTGTGGGGCAGCTGGTGAGTGGGGACTTTCCTTGAGCCTGCTTCGCAGAATGGGTCCTGAACGACTCCATGCAGACATGGTGTCATACAACGCTGTCATCACGGCCTTTGAACGGGGTTGTCAATGGGAGTTGGCCTGGCAGCTGCTCTCCGAAATCGAGCAGCAGAGCGGCGATGGCGATGCTCCTCGCCTGAAAGTTTTGATCGGGGGTTCCCAAAGGGCAGATAGGTTCGCGCAAGAGCCAACATGATCTGGCTCGGTTCCGTCCCTACCCCGTGCAAGGTCGCAGTTGGAACTTCTTCAGACCTATGGTTGTTGAGATGATGCGGGTTTGCCGTTTACCATGCCACGAACCTTGCCACGGACCTTGCGGGCCCGTGAAGCCTGAAGACCTTACATGGCTTATGACCCTAACCGCCCTGTAAACCCGAATCCTCTAGAGGTTGTGGGGTATTCGTCGGCCATTGGCGCTTGCTATGGGGCGCAGTGCTGGCAACGTGCACTGCTGCTGTTCCTCCGCTTCGAGGAGGGATGCCCGCATCGCTTCTCCGTAGGTGGCTTCATGGCACCCCTGCAACATGTCTACCACCTGCTGCAGGCCCTGAGTAACAACATGAACCCCAAACTGACAAGCCCATGTTGTCTTAAAGCTTTAGGCCCCGAAGCATGAGGTCCTGGAGACTCGCATCTTGAAGAGCATCCCTCCTGACGCAATCAGCCGCTGTCCTAAGCCCAGCGTAAGTATGAAGCCAAGTTGTAGGCTGCAGGAGGCCCTCTGAAAGCCACCCACAAAAACCGAAAGCATGTACCCTAAACTTGCTGGTTCCAAGAAGGACTTCGGGGGAATTCGGGTGCCTCTATGACCCTTTTAAAGGATTCCACCCGGACCCTTAATGCCCTACTAGATCTTAGGAACTACTCGTAGTAAGTAAACTCACCATCACAGACCTTCAAGGCCTGCAATTCAACATGGGAAATTCAGTCCTAATCAGAACCCTCAACCGCCTTTACGTTCGAAGGTTTGGGGGTATAGGGCCTGAGGCTTCTTTGGGGTTTGGAACTCGAAAGCCCCAACCCGCGAAACCCTGAATTTCTAAACCCCGAAACCCTAAACCCTAAACCCTAAACCCTAAATCCTAAACCCTAAACCCTAACCAGGAGAAGGGCCTTCCGGCCAACGCCGTAGCCCTGGGCATTAGCCTGGCTGCTTGTGAGGCGCGGGTTAGCAGCGTAGGGTTGCCGACAGGGCTTAGGGTTTAGAGTTTAGGGTTTAGGGTTTAGGGTTTAGGGTTTAGGGTTTAGGAGTTGAGCTTGGCTTTGGGTCGAGGGTGATGGGGTCATGATTTCATTTAAGGCCCTGCAAGGTTTCGGAGGATGTTGATGCTGCAGGGTGCTAGACTGTTGGCGTGACGTTGCGCCGCAGAGCGTTTGTTGA